TGGGACGGAGGGAAGGAATGATGCCCAACCACTTGGAGGGTCGGGGATTGAACGGCGACCTGCATGAAGCGAGACCGTCGCTCTACCGTCCAGTCAAAGTGGCTGGGTTGTATGCTTGAAATGAATAGGCAGCTCTGGAGCAGAGTATAGTTGTAGGTTTACATTGAGTATACTACAACAAGTATCACAGCCCCACGGCACCCCCCCCCCCACACAAGGTCGAACTACTGACCCTCCTCAGGAGGCAACCCAACAACAGTTGTCTAACTAGCGGGTACCTATTTACTGCTAGGTGAGCACAGGGGTTAAGTCTCCGTGGTGTAGTGGTAAGACACTCGCCTGGCGTTCCGCGAGCGCTTTGTCATGGGTTCGTATCCTGGCCGGGGAGGATTTACTGGGCGCAAATCCTTAACTGTAGCCTCTGTTTAACTCAACAGTAAAATGTGTACTTGGTTGTAAAAACAATTCTTCGCGGCAGGGGATCGTATTCCAGGGACCTGCCCGAAACGCTACGCGTACTAGTGGCTGTACAAGAATGTAACAACTCTTGTATATATCTCAAAAAGTGAAAGGAAACGTGTCTATTTCTGTCCTACCCAAAAAGCGAACCCGGGATCCCTGAATGCGAGTCGAGAACGAAGCCAACTGTATTATTGGTGCAGTGCAGCTTTCTGTTCTTAACCAGTATAGGACTTTGCATATCTCACCATTAATCTCCATTTGCTATTTTTTCACCTAGACCTGGAGTTCAAGTATTTTTGAAATTCATGTCTTCATTTGTATCCACTACGCACGTTGGGTTTGTGTCGTCTGCACACACATGCTGATATGACAGTCCATCCTCCTAAAATTAAAGTGCTTATAATAACTATTTGGTCGAAGGTCCCCCTGTCCTCCCCACTATTTCCCCTTCCCCTATCCCCTCATCCTCATAACCATTCCTCATTCCCCTGTCCCCTTCGTCCTCCCCACCATTCCCCCTCCCCATCCCTCGTCCTCCCCACCATCCCTCACTCCCCTGTCCCCTTGTCCTCCCCACCATCCCCGACTTCCCCATCCACTCGTCCTCCCCACCATCCCCGACTTCCCCATCCCCTCGTCCTCCCCACCATCCCCGACTTCCCCCCCTCGTCCTCCCCACCATCCCCGACTTCCCCATCCCCTCGTCCTCCTCACCATTACCCAATCCCCTCGTCCTCCACATCTATTTGGACCTAATGTCTACATAAATGATCTACCAGTTGGTATACAGAATTATATGAATATGTTTGCTGATGATGCTAAGATAATAGGAAGGATAAGAAACTTAAATGATTGTCATGCCCTTCAAGAAGACCTGGACAAAATAAGTATATGGAGCACCACTTGGCAAATAGAATTTAATGTTAATAAATGCCATGTTATGGAATGTGGAATAGGAGAACATAGACCCCACACAACCTATATATTATGTGAGAAATCTTTAAAGAATTCTGATAAAGAAAGAGATCTAGGGGTGGTTCTAGATAAAAAACTATTACCTGAGGACCACATAAAGAAAATTGTGCGAGGAGCCTATGCCACGCTTTCTAACTTCAGAACTGCTTTTAAATACATGGATGGCGATATACTAAAGAAATTGTTCACGACTTTTGTTAGGCCAAAGCTAGAATATGCAGCTGTTGTGTGGTGCCCATATCTTAAGAAGCACAGCAACAAACTGGAAAAGGTGCAAAGACATGCTACTAAGTGGCTCCCAGAACTGAAGGGCAAGAGCTACGAGGAGAGGTTAGAGGCATTAAATATGCCAAAACTAGAAGACAGAAGAAAAAGAGGTGATATGATCACTATATACAAAATAGTAACAGGAACTGATAAAATCGACAGGGAAGATTTCCTGAGACCTGGAACTTTAAGAACAAGAGGTCATAGATTTAAACTAGCTAAACACAGATGCCGAAGAAATATAAGAAAATTCACTTTCGCAAACATATTGGTAGACAGTTGGAACAAGTTAGGGGAGAAGGTGGTGGAGGCCAAGACCGTCAGTAGCTTCAAAGCGTTATATGACAAAGAGTGCTGGGAAGACGGGACACCACGAGCGTAGCTCTCATCCTGTAACTACACTTAGGTAATTACACCTAGGTAATTACATCATCCCTCACTCCTGTCCCCTCGTCCTCCCCACCATTCCCCACTCTCTCGTCCAATGCGTTCCCAAATGATCTGATGTTCCAATCACTGAAAAATAAGAACAGTTAAAAAAACTAAATGAAAAATTAAAAAAATTAAATATAAACTACACTCACGAAATAAATGGTATGGTAAACAACACAGCTCAATTCCAACGCAAAGTCACACAAAATAATTAAATCAAAATGAAAATAAATCGAAATCTATGAAAATTCAATTTATCAATGCAATTGGAAACATTGAAATGGAATCATAACATATTTAGTATAGCGTCTGTTGCTTTTACATGCAACAGATGGCGCTGTTTTTCAAAAAAGCATGTTTTTACTTGTCACAGGTGTGGCATCTATATAGTCGGCATATAAAAACACACGCGTATTCGAATGGCAACCCATCCTCATAAAAGTAACGGCACTTTTCACTCGTATGCATGCTATGGCCAAAAATGGATGTAATTTTAAGTGAAATCGGCTCACAAAAGTGACGTACTGCCCTGTTTTCTGTTTGAGTCCTCCGGCTTACTCAGTTAGACTAGGAGAGGAAACTTTCAATTAACGGTTTTCATGTGACGTTTTGAAACGTTAGGAGAACTTCCTGCCCACCTACCAGATGACCCTTAACTTGCTGTTTCGGAAAAACAAAGTCCAAAATTTTTTCATTTTCATTTTCAAATTACGTCCATTTTCGGCCAAACTGGCCAACGGCAAATTTTCAAATTCAGACGTAATTTGTAATAGGACAGGTTGCGAATGGAACGTTGTGTCAAATTTTGAAAGCAATCGGTGAAGAACATTTGGAGATTACAGCCTGACTAAATTAATAGTACAAAAAGAGGTTTACTGATGGACCATCACCGCATGTTGGTATTTTCAACCAAATAGTTACTATACTATCATTCCAGGAGGATGGAATGTGATATTACAGGTCATTATAGTATTCAATGGCGATGATATAATGAAAATCAGTGAGCCAAGATCAGAGCCTTGCTGCACACCACCAGTGGGCCCAGTTGGGAGCCTTGAGAAACACCACCAGTGGGCCCAGTTAAGAGCCTTGAGAAACACCACCAGTGGGCCCAGTTAAGAGCCTTGAGAAACACCACCAGTGGGCCCACCAGTGGGCCCAGTAAGAGCCTTGAGAAACACCAGCAGTGGGCCCAGTTAAGAGCCTTGAGAAACACCACCAGTGGGCCCAGTTAAGAGCCTTGAGAACACCACCAGTGGACCCAGTTAAGAGCCTTGCTGCACACCACCAGTGGGCCCAGTTGAGAGCCTTGCTGCACACTACCAATGGGCACAGTTAAGAGCCTTGCTGCACACCACCAGTGGGCCCAGTTAAGAGCCTTGAGAAACACCACCAGTGGGCCCAGTTAAGAGCCTTGAGAAACACCACCAGTGGGCCCAGTTAAGAGCCTTGAGAAACACCACCAGTGGGCCCAGTTAAGAGCCTTGCTGCACACCACCAGTGGGCCCAGTTAAGAGCCTTGCTGCACACCACCAGTGGGCCCAGTTAAGAGCCTTGAGAAACACCACCAGTGGGCCCAGTTGGGAGCCTTGCTGCACACTACCAATGGGCACAGTTAAGAGCCTTGCTGCACACCACCAGTAGGCCCAGTTGAGAGCCTTGAGAAACACCACCAGTGGGCCCAGTTGGGAGCCTTGCTGCACACTACCAATGGGCACAGTTAAGAGCCTTGCTGCACACCACCAGTGGGTTGAGAGCCCAGTGGGCCCAGTTGGGAGCCTTGCTGCACACTACCAATGGGCACAGTTAAGAGCCTTGCTGCACACCACCAGTGGACCCAGTTAAGAGCCTTGCTGCACACTACCAGTGGACCCAGTTAAGAGCCTTGCTGCACACCACCAGTGGGCCCAGTTAAGAGCCTTGAGAAACACCACCAGTGGGCCCAGTAAGAGCCTTGAGAAACACCACCAGTGGGCCCAGTTAAGAGCCTTGAGAAACACCACCAGTGGGCCCAGTTAAGAGCCTTGAGAAACACCACCAGTGGGCCCAATTGGGAGCCTTGCTGCACACTACCAGTGGACCCAGTTAAGAGCCTTGCTGCACACCACCAGTGGACCCAGTTGAGAGCCTTGCTGCACACCACCAGTAGGCCCAGTTGAGAGCCTTGCTGCACACTACCAATGGGCCCAGTTAAGAGCCTTGCTGCACACCACCAGTAGGCCCAGTTGAGAGCCTTGCTGCACACTACCAATGGGCACAGTTAAGAGCCTTGCTGCACACCACCAGTGGGCCCAGTTGAGAGCCTTGCTGCACACTACCAATGGGCACAGTTAAGAGCTTTGCTGCTCACCACCAGTGGGCCCAGTTGAGAGCCTTGAGAAACACCAGAAGAATGACATTCATCCACTCATCAACATGTATGCTGTCCTCTATTTTCTCTCAAGTATGCCATTGCCTTCATGTATGCTGTCCTCTGTTTTCAGTCATTCAGCCAAGCCCTGATCTAGTTTGTTGTTTTCTCTGTGTTGAAGGCGTTGTTGAGGTCATACATAGAGCAGCATATTTACTACTGTTCTCAACTGCTTTGAGTACACGTCAATGTTAGAACAGGGAATTTGTGAGACAGGACCGACCCTCGTAAACCTGTGTATAAAATCTTTTGAAAAATGATTTCTTCTTGCAGTTTCTACAATTATTGCAGAATATAATCTAACACATTTTTCATTCTTTAGGCTCCACTATAATATATTTTTTGTGGGCGCCAGCAGACGTTGGCGCCAGTCTTAGACACATACTAAAGAGTTTTGGTGGTTGATGAGATATTGTTCCGGCGGTGAGTAACGACGGGGTGTCTGGTGTTCCAGGAGTATGTCTGGAGAGAGCTACACTCGCTGGCGGTCCAGTGCCAGCGACGACGAGGATGACGACGCCCTGGAGGAGGGCGAGAGCGGGGCGGGGCGGAGCAGGCCGGGAGCCGTCACCGTCATCACCGCCAGGACCCGACCCCCAACTGCCCTCTCTCCTGCAGCACAGGCCAGGATGGTCTGCGTCATGGTACGTCCACCAGTACTGTGAGTGCTGCCACCACTCACTCACACCAGTACTGTCAGTGCTGCCACCACTCACTCTCACCAGTACTGTGAGTGCTGCCACCACTCACTCTCACCAGTACTGTGAGTGCTGCCACCACTCACTCTCACCAGTACTGTGAGTGCTGCCACCACTCACTCTCACCAGTACTGTGAGTGCTGCCACCACTCACTCTCACCAGTACTGTGAGTGCTGCCACCACTCACTCACTCACTCGAGCCAAGAGTGCCACTAATCTCACTCTATCATCACAGGAAAAGTGACATTATATATAACACAGCCCTCACTGACCCATGGTACACGTGTCACAGCCCTCACTGATCCATGGTACATGTGTCATAGCCCTCACTGACCCATAGTACATGTGTCATAGCCCTCACTGACCCATGGTACACGTGTCACAGCCCTCACTGATCCATGGTACATGTGTCACAGCCCTCACTGACCCATAGTACATGTGTCATAGCCCTCACTGACCCATAGTACATGTGTCATAGCCCTCACTGATCCATAGTACATGTGTCACAGCCCTCACTGATCCATAGTACATGTGTCACAGCCCTCACTGATCCATAGTACATGTGTCACAGCCCTCACTGATCCATGGTACATGTGTCACAGCCCTCACTGACCCATAGTACATGTGTCACAGCCCTCACTGACCCATAGTACATGTGTCATAGCCCTCACTGACCCATAGTACATGTGTCACAGCCCTCACTGACCCATAGTACATGTGTCACAGCCCTCACTGATCCATGGTACATGTGTCACAGCCCTCACTGATCCATAGTACATGTGTCATAGCCCTCACTGATCCATGGTACATGTGTCACAGCCCTCACTGATCCATGGTACATGTGTCACAGCCCTCACTGATCCATAGTACATGTGTCACAGCCCTCACTGATCCATAGTACATGTGTCACAGCCCTCACTGATCCATAGTACATGTGTCATAGCCCTCACTGATCCATGGTACATGTGTCACAGCCCTTACTGATCCATGGTACATGTGTCATAGCCCTCACTGATCCATGGTACATGTGTCACAGCCCTCACTGATCCATGGTGCATGTGTCATAGCCCTCACTGATCCATAGTACATGTGTCACAGCCCTCACTGATCCATGGTACATGTGTCACAGCCCTCACTGATCCATGGTACATGTGTCACAGCCCTCACTGATCCATGGTACATGTGTCACAGCCCTCACTGATCCATGGTACATGTGTCACAGCCCTCACTGATCCATGGTACATGTGTCACAGCCCTCACTGATCCATGGTACATGTGTTACAGCCCTCACTGACCCATAGTACATGTGTCACTGCCCTCACTGACCCATGGTACATGTGTCACTGCCCTCACTGATCCATGGTACATGTGTCACAGCCCTCACTGATCCATGGTACATGTGTCACAGCCCTCACTGACCCATAGTACATGTGTCACAGCCCTCACTGATCCATGGTACATGTGTCACAGCCCTCACTGATCCATGGTACATGTGTCATAGCCCTCACTGATCCATAGTACATGTGTCACAGCCCTCACTGATCCATGGTACATGTGTCATAGCCCCTCACTGATCCATAGTACATGTGTCATAGCCCTCACTGATCCATGGTACATGTGTCACAGCCCTCACTGATCCATAGTACATGTGTCACTGCCCTCACTGATCCATGGTACATGTGTCATAGCCCTCACTGATCCATGGTACATGTGTCACAGCCCTCACTGATCCATGGTACATGTGTCACTGCCCTCACTGATCCATGGTACATGTGTCACTGCCCTCACTGATCCATGGTACATGTGTCACTGCCCTCACTGATCCATGGTACATTTGTCACTGCCCTCACTGATCCATGGTACATGTGTACCATGGAGCACTCTGCCTGACTCCAATGATTTATTAAATATGGTAGACAGTGGCTCGCAAAGCTCCTCTTTGCATTCTTTAAGCACCCTGGCAAACACTTCATCCGGCCGTAGGGATTTGTTAGGTTTGAATTTCACTATTTGTTCAATAACATCCTCCCTGGTAACTGTTAATCTAGTCAACCTGTCCTCGTCCCTACCCATAGACTTGTTCGGCTGAAGGCATAGTGTTAAGTTCCTCCTTAGTAAATACAGAGATAAAATATTTATTAAAAATATTACTCAGCTCTTCGTCATTATCAGTTATCTGACCTGTCTCAGTTTTTAATGGACCTATACTTTCCCTAGTCTTAGTTCGATATAACTGAAAAAACTTTTAGGATTTGTCTTTGCTTGCTCTGCTATGCGAACTTCATAGTTTCTTTTTGCCCTCCTTATCTCTTTTTTTTAATTTATCTAACCAATTGGACGAATTCTTGTTCTAAACTGACTTCCCCATTCTTAATCCTTTTGTACCACGCTCTCTTTCTACCTATAAGGTTCTTCAGATCCTTAGTTATCCATTTCGGGTCATTATTATTCGATCTATTCAATTTGTGTGGTATACTACGTTCCTGTGCTTTGCTTAGACTATTTTTAAATAGATTATTATTTGAATCCACTGCGAAATCCCCTTTTTAACAACATCATCATTACCTAGCCTAAAAACCTTACATTTGTCAGCATTATACTGCATCTGCCACTCTTTTGACCATTTCAAAACCCTATTTAAATCGTCTTGAAGTGATAGAGAGTCTTTTCACGTGTTCATTTCCCTCCCAATTTTTATATCATCAGCAAACTTGCAAATATTGCTGCTCAAACCGGAATCTAAATCATTATTATGTATTATGAATAACATAAATCCCAGGACAGAGCCTTGAGGCACTCCACTTACAACATTTTCCCCACACTGACTTAACCTCATTTATACTAACTCTTTGTTTCCTTTGTTATAGTCATGCCCTTCATAAAAACTGATTGTCTGAAGAAACCATTGTCTACCATATTTAATAAATAATTAGTCAGGCATAGTGCGTCGTGGAAGGTTTCTAATGTGGTACCAATTTTCAAGAAAGGAGATAGATCACTTGCGTCAAACTATCGGCCAATTAGTTTAACGCCTATTGTGGGAAAGTTACTTGAATCGATAATTGCAAATATCATTGGTCTTCATCTTGAAAAACATAAATTAATAAAAGATTCACAACATGGTTTTACAAATGGCCGTTCGTGTTTATCAAATTTGCTATAATTTTATTCCAGCATATTTGAGGCAGTTGATAGTAATAAGGTTTGTGATGTTGTGTACCTTGACTTTAGCAAAGTTTTTGATACAGTGCCACATGAAAGATTGATTACAAAGATAGAGACTCACGGTATTTGGGGTGCTATAATATGTTGGAGTAGGGCTTGGCTATATCAAAGGAAACAAAGAGTTAATATAAAGGGGATTAAGTCAGAGTGGGAAAATGTTGTAAGTAGAGTGCCTCAAGGCTCTGTCCAGGGACCTCTGTTATTCATAACATATATAAATGATTTAGATTTATGTTTGAACAGCAATATTTGTAAATTTACCTATGATACAAAAATCAGGAGGGTAATAAACACGGAATAAGACTCACTATCACTTCAAGTCCATCTAAATAGTGTTTCGAAATGGTCAAAAGATTGGCAGATGCAGTTTAATGCTGTCAAATGTAAGGTTTTGAGGCTAGGTAATGATGATAGAGTTACAAGATACGAGCTATATGGTGTTGAGATTGCGAAGTCGGATTGCGAGAGGAATCTGGGAGTTATGATTAGTAAGAAATTAATCAAGCAAATTAGCCTGGGTCGGACATGTATATGAGTTGGCTTGGGTGGTTATAAATAGCTGCTGCCTCGTATGGGCCAATATTCCTATGTACTTATGTTCTGTTGACCAGACCACACACTAGAAATTGAAGGGACGACGACGTTTCGGTCCGTCCTGGACCATTCTCAAGTCGATTGATATCATACTTTGGCTCCTGTATGATATCATACTTCAGCCACGTTATTGTGACTCATCGCCTACATATGTTCTTATGACTCGCAAAGCTCTTCGTTGCATTCCTCAGGCACCCTGACAAACACTTCGTCCAGTCCTGGGGAATTGTTTGGCTTGAGTTTCACTATTTGTTAAATAACATCCTCTATGGTAACTGCTAAACTAGTCAACCTGTCCTCTTCCCCATCCAAATAGACTTGTTCGGCTGAAGGAATAATGTTACGTTCCTCTGTAGTAAATACAGAGATAAAATATTTAGTAAAAATACCACTCATCTCTTTATCGTTATCATTTATCTCACCTGTCTCAGTTTTTAATGGACCTTTCCTTTCCCTACTCTTTGTTCGTGTCTGTGTTAGTGAGGGTAGACGTGTCACTACCTTCACTAACACATGGTAGATGACACAATCATCACTGACCCATGACAGATGTGTCACTACCCTCACTAACACATGGTAGATGACACAATCATCACTGACCCATGACAGATGTGTCACTACCCTCACTAACACATGGTAGATGACACAATCATCACTGACCCATGACAGATGTGTCACTACCCTCACTAACACATGGTAGATGACACAATCATCACTGACCCATGACAGATGTGTCACTACCCTCACTAACACATGGTAGATAACACAATCATCACTGACCCATGACAGATGTGTCACTACCCTCACTAACACATGGTAGATAACACAATCATCACTGACCCATGACAGATGTGTCACTACCCTCACTAACACATGGTAGATGACACAATCATCACTGACCCATGACAGATGTGTCACTACCCTTACTAACACATGGTAGATGACACAATCATCACTGACCCATGACAGATGTGTCACTACCCTTACTAACACATGGTAGATGACACAATCATCACTGACCCATGACAGATGTGTCACTACCTTCACTAACACATGGTAGATGACACAATCATCACTGACCCATGACAGATGTGTCACTACCCTCACTAACACATGGTAGATGACA